GATGATTATCGGGACAACTTTCAATCGCCCCCCATGCATTGATGATTGTCCACTAGGTCCTTCCAATTTGAGTGACTTCTTCCCTACTATTGGGAAATCAGTTGGAGCGTTCGAATACTTCAAACTGACTCCTACCGAGAAGTTACAAGCACACAAATATGTTTTGATAAATTGCACTCAAGTTGAACCTTTTCTCTAGTAAATTGTATATGGATTTTCTTTTTTATGTTTAAAATTTCTTCATCATTGTCTTCTCTAACAAGTAACACTATAGGGAATTTAGCAGATATGTTAGGTAGTAGCTATGGGTTCATTCACAAACATCTGTTAAGGTTGACAAGAGAGTCTATAGGGAATTTTCGAGTTGGTTTACACATCGAATACATAATAACAATAACCCCCACATAGTTGAACTCAAAAGTCTTACATATGGTCTGTTTGATGATGTCAGGACGTTTACTACATATAATGTCAATGGGTTCAAGTTCCGTACAGTAACGTGTGATCAGGGTTTGCTCACACAAAACTCTGGAGTTTTTGGCACATTTGGAATGAGGAGTTATGCTAGTACCAGTGATAGTGACATACGATTTGGAGGCATTCCTTACTATGGAATGCTCATTGATATTGTTGAGTTAAATTATCAAGGATTTTTCACTGTCACTCTATTCAAGTGTTGTTGGGCAAATACGACTGTGATGCTTGTTCTTACACAACCCATTTAGATTAATTCAAACAATTTATTCAAAAGATTAACCATGATAAAAAAGAAAAAACCTTAAAATTTTAAAATCACTATCATGGTTAAAAGAAATAAACTTATATTATGAGCAATATCGATAATTAACTTGGGCCTTGGACTTCCAAAGTCTAAAAATATCATTCAAGCCTTAGCCCAAACAAAACTTATACTTTCAAAAGAGTGTCACGTGCATAGTCTTAGAGGCCTCTGGCCTTCTAACAACCATCTCATCAATTAGCAGTAATCGAATGTATTAGTTTATAACATCATAGTAGATAGGCCCTATGTGGCAATATATAATAAATCAGCACATAAAACAAAAGAAGAGAGGCTATACAAGCAATAACAGCACAATAAGCATCTGAGGCCTTTCCTGACAGATCATCATTTGAACTATTACCTGTAGATAGTAGAAATCACGGGGTGAGACAAACGCCTCAGTAACTAGCTTTTCAACTTGTCATACATACCAACATGTGCTCATAAGATGTCAAGTGGGACAATTATATAAATCTCAAGAAATATAGATATATCAATGGAAATATAAAATATATATTTAGATAATCTCAATCATCCAAACCCTTATTACAAGGGCTAACAAACATGCTACATAAGTCTATCTCTCACTATAGGGGATCAATTAGACATATAGGCCTATCCCACACTTTAGGAGATGAATAAGTAGTCACAAAGGTCTATCCCTTACTATAAGCCTATCCCACACTTTGGGGGGATGAATAAGAAGCCGCAAAAGTCTATCTCTTACTCTGGGGATAAAGAAAGCCAACCAATATGCACCAATGGCAGCCTTATCACATGGTAGGATATGGCTCAATCCAAAAATTCAAATAACAACCAATCATTCACAATATAACCAAAAATGTCTCAATCGTTTCTCAATATAATCCATAAGATATAAATCATACATTTTTTCAAATTTCTCAATCACAATTCCAAGAATCCCACAAGACAATTTTCATAGCTCAAAAGGTATAACATATCTACTCGAGTTCCAAATAATAAATCATTATTCTAAATAAAAAAATACTCACAAACAACATATTAGCACATATAACAAGTGGAAAGTAGTTACTTCTCTCCAAAACAATAGTAAGGATTACCACAAGGTCAATCATTTGCTTAACCAATAATTAATCTACACAATTAATATAAGCTAATTAATTAATAATTAAGCTTATATATTAGTTAAATGTTTAATTTAATTTAATTTAATTTTCATTCTAAATTCCCACAACTTTCACAACCCAAAATTAAGTATTTTATAAATGAATTATAATGTTCTAATAAGCCAAATTATTTATTTACATCCTCCAACTTATTTACTTTAATAAAAAGAATTTTCCAAAATTTTCAAATATGGATTTATTATGTTCTAAATTCTAAAAATCTCATTTGAAATTTAAACCTCAAAATCGAATCATAAAAAATTTAATAGTACCTCAAATATTTATAAATAAATAATCTAATCAAAATTTTAATGTTATAACTATCAAATATATATTTCCATAAATAATAAATTTTTTAGCTAAAATAATTATTTTAAAACCTCTAGTCACTCAATAAATAAAAATAAACCGATTAAAATCTCAATAATATGCCAAACAACCCAAATAAATTATTTAACTTAATTTTAATCGGTATAAATATGACACTAAAAAAAACAGGGAATTAGTGACGAAATTCTATTTTATCGCAAATCTGTCACTATTCCATGACTAATTCTGTCACAAATATTAGCGACGAAATTGTAAAGGATTTGCCACGGATTTTAGCGACGAAAGTTTCTGTCAGTAAAATAAGATTTGCAACAAATTAGCGACGAAATTTTTTCTGTCACTAAAATCCATCGCAAAAGTCCGTAGCTAATTTTGTTAAAAAGCTGTCACAAATCCATCACAAATCCCTTGCAATTCCGTCCCTAACTTTGTCATGAGATAAGCCAATCTTTTTGACAGAAATCAGGGTCAGATTTGCGACGAAAATTTGTGACGGAAATTTTTTCGTGGCAAATTTCCGTCGCTAACACAACTACCATCACTAGGCCATCGCAAATTTTCATCACTAATTTCCATGACAAATCTCTGTCACTAATCCATCACAATTCCATTACAAATCCATCGCAAATCCGTCACTAATTTGAAACAGTTTGTGTTATTTATTATTGTTGTTTATATTATGTAAAAGTTATGTATAATTATTTTTAATTACAAAAAAGGAAAGAAATTTTTTTTATTTTGATATAAGAATTGAATTATTTTTATTAGGTCCTCTTGATTATTAATATTATTAGTAGAGTAGTTTATATTTGTGTTAAAATAAATTCTTCTTATAACTTAGTGACAATTTTCTTTTTCCCTTGTAACCTAATGATAAGTAAATAAGTAAGAGAAGATAAGAATTTCAATTACTTTACTATGTGAATTAATCCACATACCTCCATTTATGAACTCTAACATAACAAGAACGCTTGAGGCAAGTGAGAGATGATGGTATTAAACCTGGATAAATGTTTTCATATATACGTATAAAGTGTTGGTGCTTTTAATGATCTATCTTTTTTATTCTTAATATCTTGTAACACCCAATTGAATTAAAAATGGTTCATATATATTATCTCACTTTTAATCATTATTGATATATGGTCACTTAATGATATGATTTTCATTACATTTATCGACTTTCACATCATTATAATGGAGGAATTAGGAATGTTTATTCTTAAAAAGAATTAATTAATCGGGAAACTAATACATTGATTTTTTAATTGTGAAAAAAATTTAACTTTTTAATGTCTTGTAACACCCAATTGAATTAAAAATGGCTAATATATGTATATATTATCTCACTTTTAATAATTATTAACGTATAGTCACTTAATGATGTGATTTTCATTACATTTATTGACTTTCACATCATTATAATGGAGGAATTAGAAATGTTTATTCTTAAAAAGAATTAATTAATCGGGAGACTAATACATTGATTTTTTAATTGTGAAAACAATTTAACTTCTTGATGTCTTATAACCCCCAATTGAATTAAAAATAGCTAATATATATTATCCACTTTTAAGAATTATTATTGATGCCACTTAATGATTTGATTTTTATTATATTTATTGACTTTCACATCACTATAACAAAGGAATTAGGAACGTTTATTCTTAAAAAGAATTAATTAATTGGGAAACTAATACATTGATTTTTTAATTGTGAAAACAATTTAATTTCTTAATGTCTTATAACCCCCAATTGAATTAAAAATAGCTAACATATATTATCCACTTTTAAGAATTATTATTGATATCACTTAATGATTTGATTTTCATTATATTTATTGACTTTCATATCATTATAACAAAGGAATTAGGAACGCTTATTCTTAAAAAGAAATAATTAATTGGGAAACTAATACTTTGATTTTTTGAGGAAAAATTGGGAATAAACCACTTATTAAAAATTTAATTGGCAAATGAGACCTAAGAAATTTGTGCAACTTAATTTCTATTATATGTAACTTAACTTCCTTTATGTTCAATTTATCTTTCCTTGTGTACAATAATTTTTTGGTACAATGTGTAACTCAATTTCTTTTTGTGCAAATAAAATTCTCTTATGTACAAGTCATCTTTCCTATGTACAAAATAATTTCTTATATCCAAATAATATTTTGTGCAAACTATTTTTTCTTTGTGCAACTTATCTTTCTTTGTGTACAACTAATATTTCCTTTGTGCAATCAATCATTGTAGATCCTATTTGCCAATTAAATTTTTAATTAGGTATTCATTCCCAATTTTCCATTTTTTAATTGTGAAAAAAATTTAACTTTTTAATATCTTGCAACACCCAATTGAATTAAAAATGACTAATATATAAATATATTTATTATCTCACTTTTAATAATTATTGATGCATAGTCACTTAATGATATGATTTTCATTACATTTATCGACTTTTACATCATTATAATGGAGGAATTAAGAATGTTTATTGTTAAGAAGAATTAATTAATTGTGAAACTAATAGTTTGATTTTTTTAATTGTAAAAACAATTTTCAGATAAACGTATATAATTTAAGTTTTTTATTAAATGTATATAATATGAAGTTTATTATTAAATAATAAGTGTAATTGTGCTCAGTGCTCACCGTTTTGAATTCATTTATTATTAAATAATAAGTGTAATTGTGCTCAATGCTCACCGTTTTGAATTCACTCTTCGGCACCTGATGGAAAAACGCAAGATTGCCGCTAATGCTTTCTCCATTTCAACCCCTCTTTTTCCATAGCCGCCACTCCTTGAGCCCTAGATCTCACCACTTCATCTTCGCCGCATCAGTGACAAAATCTCTTCAATCATCTTCCTATGTTAACAACATCGACTTCCTCCTCCAACTTTCATCACCAGCGATGCTGTTACCGGCCAACATAATCATTGTCCGTGTTCTCCTCGCTCTGCTTCAACTTCTTTCTTCAACTCTTGCAGCTCAGTCTCTAGTTTCTTTTCATCACCAACCTCAAGGTGAATTTTCTTCTTTTTTGTTTTTGTTTTTGGTGAATAAATATAAACTAAATAGAATACAAAACCAAAAGATTATGGTAAACCATGCGAACTTGTCTTGGAGTCTCGATGCCCAGTAGATCCTTGTGCAATTGTTCTTCCAACTCTATTGGAGGTATTACCCAAGTTCTTTTCTTTTTGGATTGAAGGAAAGCTTGATGCTCCATCTTGTTAGCACACGCATTAGCTTCTCCGTATATCACTTTGAACCTGAGTTGCCATTCTCTTCCCATAAGCTCTCTTTGTTCCTCCATTAAACCATTGTAATCCTCTAGCGGTTGCTCTTTCTGAATTTGATTCTTCTTAAAATCTGTTGCGTGTTTATCTTTAAAAATAATATAAATTTTTAGTTTGACTTAAATAAATTTCGGTGCTTTGAGTGTATTTCCGCTTTATCTATGTCTGCTTCTAAACTTGCTTTTTTTGGTGTATGGGTTTTTGTGTCTATTCAAAGTTTTCATTTTTAAATCACCCATTAAGCTGTATTTTTCCTAAATGATGTTTCTAGGTCTTTTTTGAAATGAATTAACTGTTAGCCTTGAACCTCCAATCAAATATTGCAATTAAATTAATTCATTTACTCTTATGATATACAACTAGAAAATGCTATCCCGTGCTTCAATTAGTATAATTAATAACACTAACTTATTGTAATTTATATTATCCCCAAAAACATCAACACAACATAAAGCACTTCATCTATAGATGATGATATTGAAATTGGCTTATATTTTAATCCTTAGAGTCAGATCTTATTAACGAGTTAATATAGTAGCATTGTTTCACTCAAAAAAATAATAGCATTGTGACAAGTTAATTAACCATTTGAACTATACAAAAATAGTTATTGAAAACAAAAATTAATTAGGATTACATTTTGACTCAATATAATTGCTATCTCTTTTCCAATCTCATATATCATTATATATATATATATATATATATAAATTGGCGCAAGTCTACTTTTTTTTTTTAACCTTATAATTTCAGATTGTTTTCCAAAAATTTTATTTTAGAATAGCATTTTGCTAAGCGATTGCACTTTAATGCAAAAGCTTAACATTTATTTTCAGCTGTAATCTTTATTTATTTAATGCATGACATGATCATTTTTTATAAATAACTATTTAATGCATGATATAATCTTTTTTTTTTTATAAATAACTACAGGCTTTGCAGTTGGGAAGAAATCCTACTTAATGTGAATTGTTCACAAAGACGCACTTTGCTATCAAAACTAACCAATTTGTGGATATTAGGTCAACTGAAGTTTCTGTAAGTATATATTTTTCTAGAATCTTTTTCTGTAGGGCTGTGCTAATGGCCTGAGGCCTGACTAGTTGTAGTGTGGGTCTTTAATTCTTTACTTGTGGTTACTAGTCTGCATCAACTATATATTTAGTAGGGTTAAATAATCTAATTAAAATATGATTACATTCTATATCGATCAAAATCTTCACGCTTTTGCTTCTGTTTAATTAATGCCATAGTCCATACCAAAAGTTTTGAAAGGCATACCTTCAACGGTGATATCCATTGTCATCGATGAAAATGAGACTTTAATTTGTTTTGTTCCGATTCATTAATTGACATTATTTCATAAAATCAAATAAAATATGAACATTAAAATTTGAATGGGGAGAATGGAAGAAAAATGTTAGCTTTATAATCTAAATAAAATCAAATAAAATATCAACATTAAAATTTCACTTTCCTTCTCAATCTAAGCACACCTTTGAATTTCTCGTTTTGCGCCTCTTTCATGTCATATGCTAGTTGAAAATAATACTTCTGGACCTTTTTAAGAGGTCTCATTGCATAAAAACCATCTTTACCTTGTTTTTAGGTGTTGTATGCTCAGAACAACCACATCCTGTATATTTTAATAACATAAATAGTTTTTGTATTTATTTCAGAAATGGAATTATTAAGAAGTGTTTGTTATCACTTTTATCCCATATAGATTCGGCCAAAATTTGCTGTTGAATTCTTGTAGAACTTTTCATCTGAAAAAGGGGGAAAGAAAAAGGAATGCATATCTTAGGGCCATTTCATTGTCATCTCATATGATAAGGGACATGTTGCTTTTTACTGCCTCTCTTAGGTTAAGAACCCATAGTCTTCTTTTTTTTTTGTTTGGTTTGGTTTGTTTTTTTTTATAAATAAATTTTTTGTTTTCATTGTAAACTCATTCACATACGGTGGACGGTTTGGTTAGCCTTATATTTTTTAGCATCGATAGCTTTCTTTTTTGCCCTTTTTTTGGGGAGAGTGTCTAGCTGTATACCCCCTTATTTCCTAGGTAAGTTTTCCCCCAATTGAATTAAAATAAGAATAAGAATTTCTTTTTGCTACCTCAATGGAAGGATGGGAATTTAGCCATCTTTAGTTCCTAGCCTTTGAAAATGCCTTACTGGTGGTATAATAATAATGGTAATAGTAATAGAAATATGTAGATATTCTAATTGTGCATGCTTCTCGTATTAATAAGTATTATATTTGGAAGTTATTTTATATTATTTTGTCCTTATTACTTTTAAATTTTCTTTTGGTTTTCCTCTTGTTTGAGTCTCAAACCCAGCCAATAACAAACTAGCAACACGTGTCAAGTATATCAAAATTAGTAAGAATCTGTGGCTGAACTAGTAAGAAAGGTATTTTTATTTATGTTTCAAATATAAATTATGAAAATATTGTGCATCTCATTAAAATAGCTTGTGATTCTACTCTTTGGTACAAATTGTGCTTGCTACAAAGAGTAAGCTGTCAAAATTTGCTGTTATTTGTGGTTGGAATATGGAGCTTCCATACTTGGAACAACTTCTCTTTCTAATACTGTCCTTTTCTTTTGTTATAATGTATGTTTTGGTCTTTTAAGAAAAAATGAGTATTTATTTTGCTGTGCATATGCTTTTAACTATTCAAATTATATCACCAGATTCAATTTTGAATGTGCATTCCTAAAATTTTGCATAATTCATTTCTAAAATAATTTATGCTGAAGGAAATTCATTTCTGTCAGCAGATGCTTGCTGCTACATGTATTTCTAGGCTTTTCAAGTGGTTTGCTTTTTGAATTTGCTACAAGTAGTGTAATTGTGAGCAAATAATGGATTAAATGATTCATACCTGAATTTTTGACAAAGTGAACTATTAAGTGCCCTCTTTTACCCAAGCTGCTAGTGTACATTTTCTAACTTGGTTGGCATTAATGAACTCACACCTATATGTGGTTAATTTAGATAGTGCATGTGACTAGTTTTGGGGCAAATTTGGCATGAAATTCACTTGGATTCATGCTGTCTCCATGACTTTTTGCATTGTCCCTAAGCAATCTTTTAAGCATATAAAGTACTTCGGTGAGCTTAGTCATTATTTTGAATAAACTTGGAGGTTACATCATTAGATTTTGGTCTCTGCCAGTAGCTATTTTAAGGCTTGTTCACTCTGGATTGTTGTTTTCCAGATTCGTTGAGATTGCCTATTTGTGTGCTTGTCAATGCTTTTATATTTTGAATTTTTTACTTTCCTTTTTCACAGGAACATTACATGAGGATCAAGGCATCCAGGAGTTCTATTGTCGGATCTCCAAGTGTGGAGGAATCAAATCAGCTAGATGGTAAAGAAGTGAGGATTTGGTTGCAGGCTTCTGGTGCTAAGAACAAGAAGGGTCAAATTTATGGCTTAGGATCTAATGCCCAGCATAATGACTACACACAACATTCTGTTAGATTCAAGGTTTTGATGATAACAAATTAAGAAATCTGTGTTTTAGTAAGTTGATCGATCACTGATCGATCAAAGATTTATTGATGACTTGATAGATAAAGTTCTTGTGTAAACAAATAACTTAGTAGAAATATTAATCGATAACTTGATAGATAAATCAAATTTGTATGTGTTGATCGATCATTTTTAACACCTTTTTATATAGAAGTTTGCAGAAAATTATCAATCAATTGATTGATAATCTAGTGATCGAACAACTGATAGATAATAGGACACAAGTTTTGGTAAGTGTTTATTGATCACTTGATTGATAAATGAGTTATTGATGAGAAAAGAGATAAATGGTAAAACTTCCTCCTCTCGTTGTATTTTGTTTTAATCACCATTTATCAATCACTTTGTCGATCTCAGCTTTATCAATAACCTATTCTCTTATTGCATAATATCTCACCTGCTTATTGATATTTTTCTTCTGTTTAAGTTCTTTTGAAAATTACTTTACCGATCACCTGATCGATCAACGGTTTATCGATCAAATGAACGATCATCACCTTTTCACTGATTTAAACTGTTTAAGTCTTTCTTCGATCACTTGATCAATCATCAATTTATCGATAAATTGATTAATCATCCAATCTTCTGAATATTCTATTTTCACATAATGTGATCGATCAAACATGCTGCTAACATTTCAGAATTGAGCTTCTTGACTACATTGTTAACGATCACTTGATCGATAAGTCTCTAATTGATCACTTACTCGATCATCTTAGGATTTGTACTCTTTATGAAAATCTTTGTTAAACTTCGTTTTATCGACCAAATTTTCTGTCATCTATTTATTGATAAAGTATTCGATCAATGTACCTTAAAAATCAAATTCTCCCCTGCTTATTTTTATTGATAAATTGATCGATCAAACATTTTTTGATCACTTATTTGATCAATGATCTAGCACTTTCAATACCAGAAGCTTCGGTGAGATTTAAGAATCTTTTGAATATTTCTCCTCGAGCTTTTCTCAGCCTTACTATTTATCTTAATTCTTTATTTTAAGAGATTCAAAATCATAAGTGACCTTGAGCCTTCTTCCTCTAAAATCAATCTTTTCATTTATCGATCATTGGATCGATCATGTGTTAATCCATAACTTAATCGATAAATATAGTTATCTGTTTCAAAATCTTTCATCTTTATTAATCGATAATGTAATCGATAAACTAGTTATCGATCATGTCTTCAATCAAGGTTGATCGGTTTATAGTTATTGGATCTGATGTTTGATTGATTTACTTCTCTCCTACCATGAGAATATTACTATCATTTTATTAGTTATCTTCCTGAATGTCATTCTGAAGTAAAAACTTATTAGATTGAAGTATTGTTACAGATTACGAAGAAAGTTCAATGGTTATCCAACAGTTATTCAGTAGCCTATAACCTACCATGTCAGAAGCATTAAATGGCGAATACTGTTGTAATTGGGAAAACACGCAACTGAACTCTCAATGGCTAGAAGCTCTTCCATCTAACAGTTATTAAACTTCCACAACTATAAAAGGCGCGAATAAGCATTGAATGCGGATATTGAATACACGAGCTAGCTTCTGCAAATATTTTACTGTTGCATTCAATACTCTGTTTTTGTCTTTACTGAGCTTCAGTGTTTCTCATTCATTTACCCTGTGAGAGAGACTAACATATCATCTTTAATCACTTTCTGAGTGTAGCTCAAGAGTGTGGACTCTTAAGTGGGTTTGTAACCTTACGGGTAGTAAAGGGGAGTGGTTGAGAAGATCAATTACTGTACTGAGGCACCAAGAGCCCGGTTTGTTAGATATGATTAGTTTTGATGATGTCAAATAATAGAGCAAAAAGTTTACATAAATTATTTATCTCATATTTTGACTAACTATCATACTTACTATCTTGTGTAGTTTCCTCAAGAAAAGAAAGGAGTTATTATGTTGCACTTTGAGTTATGGAGAATGATCAAGAGGAAGAAGAAGAAGAGAGATTGAGAAAAGAAGAACTTGCAAGATCAAATGAAAATATCAAGATTCAAGTTCATAGATTTGATGTTAAATGTTGCTATACTCAATCAGAAGTTTGGATGGCTCGGTCGGAAGCTAAAATATACAACCGGGAAGTTATACCATCATATATTGAGTCACCCCTCATATAAACATGGAAAATAAGCTTCAGAGGTGATTTTCATGGGCAATTATCGATCACTTGATCGATCATCCATTTATCGATCAAGTTATCGATAAAATACATCCTCTGTTATGCTTTGTTCTTCGTTCAGCTCTGACATAGGTTCGGTATTTCTTCAATATCTCTCAAATCACAAATCCGTTTGAGGTGAAACTTAATTCCTATGAAACTATACTCAGAAAACGGTTCATGGACACCAAATTCACCTTCAAAGAGTTTCATATGAGGGAGATATGTTGTTCGAAAGATTGCAGTAAGGATTAACGCCTTTATTCCGACCTTTAGTCATTGTGATGAAGATAACTTTGCAACCACAATGAATTTTGGGGTGATTCTTGTTGCATTAGAAAGTAGACTCAAAGAGCTTTCTGGGGATAGGTCATTTACAAAATTTGGAGCTGAATTGGAAGATTTATGATCACTCAAAGTTGACCTTTGTTTTGCTTGAATCAGAATTCGAAATTATTAAGGTAAAGACCAGAAGTTCTACATAGATTGATTAAGCTCTTAAACAACATGCTACCCAAACATGTTATTGAGTAAAAGCTCTAGAAGAGATGAAGAAATGAAAAGCCATTGTCATATGTTACTCGAGCCTGATCAAGCGACTACATACTCATCGAGTTACTGGTACTATCTCCTCAATTCTTCTCTTTTATCTTCATACATATTATTAAGGTTTTATCAGTAACATGTTGGATAAATGATTTTTGGATAACGTTATAGATGAATATGTTTATCAATCACTTGATCGATAACTGTCAAGTTTTATCGATCACGTGATAGATAATTTAGTCTGCTCAATAACTTGCTAGATTGATCGATCAACTAATCGATCATTGGTATAGCTGCTTAATATAAGATGTTGCAGGAAATAATCGATCACTTAATCGATTAGACCTTTATCGATAACTTGTTCGAATATTACATTTCTTCTTACTCGATATAGTGCTCTGTCAAAACCATTCGTTCAAAATCTTTTATCGATCAATTGATCAATCAAACATTTATCAATCAAATGATCGATTATTATCTTCACTGCATTAACTTATGTTGAATCATTTTTTTGATCACCTAATCGATCATTAATTTATCGATAAAATGATCGATCATCCAATTTCCTGAAACTCCTGTTTTCACATAACGTGATCGATAATCAGTTTCTTTACCTTACAGGATTAAATCTCTGTTTTTCATTTTATCGATCACTTGATCAAATATTCATTGATCGATCACCTGTTCGATTAATCCACATAGTCTGTGTTTTTCGCTGAATATATTCTTACTCATTGTTTATCGATAACCTTATCCATCATCCATTTATCGATAATTTGTTCAATCATCAATGACTGAAGTTTCATTTCTGTAACACTTGGATTATCGATAATCTGTTCGATCAACAAGTGTTCGATCATGGAACGTTTTCTGTTTAAACATCAGTCGACTATGATGATTCTTAAAATCAATGATCTATTTTCTTTCAAGCTTTTCTCAGCCTTCTTTTAACATATAACTCTTTATCGAAAAGACACAAAGGCAAACGAAACTTGAAAGGGATTAACCTTGCATATTTCATTCGGAGTTCACTGTGTTCATGTTTCATCATTTATCGATCATTTCTTCGATCATTACATGATCCATAACCTATTCGATAATTGCATATATCTGCTATATTTTTTCTTCATATAATTAATCGATAATATGATCGATCAAAGGATTATCGATCAAGGCATCGATTAAGTAAGTTTATCTTACTTTCTGAATATCTGAAGATCTTATGATTGATTCCATGTTTTCCAACTTATTGTTTCAAAGATTATTAGATACTTATCACTTGATCTGAGGAAGATTATTTCAGGTAAAGAGCCACAACGAATTTATGATGTGAAGAATCGACTTTTGTCAGAAGCTTCCAACGGCTAGTTTCAACGATCATATTTTTCAAGCCAAACGGGAAGAAAGTGCTCAACGGTCAAATACCCAATATCATCTATAAATAGAAGAGCATTCAAAACAAGAAAAAGAAGAAGAGTCTGAGCTTACAACATCAAATGCTAAAATGCCGTATCAACATATTCTCATTTAGAGCTTCGAAAGAAAACTCCCTGTCTCTGTACTTCATAGATTAAAACTTATGTATTCGTAAGATAGAGAGGAGAGTTTCCCAGACGTGCTTAAGATTCATCTATCACTTCTTTGAGAGAAGAAATATTCAATCTTCATTATCATTATTAGATTGTATCCTTACAGTGTATAAGGGGAGGTATTACCTTTGAGAGGTTGTTGTTGAATTAGACTGGTTAGTCTAAGGATTGTAAGTGGCGACACAAGTGCCCAGATCAAACTTGTGGTTCTAGTAGTTCTCAAGTACCCGTGTTAAACTTGAGGGAGATAGTGGATTGAAAATCTCAGGGGGAGCCTGGGGACTGGACGTAGGTCGGTGAGGACCAAACCAGGATAAATCACAGTTTGCATCTTCTCTTCCCTTACTTCTTATATTTCCAGCTAAACCATTTTACTACTGTGATTATGCTTATGTCGATTCATTGTTTTTATACTCAGAATTTCTTATGAATTTTATTACATTGTGAAAAAGTTTTTAATTTTAATTAACACCCAATTCACCCCCCTCTTGGGTGATAAGCCATTCTTACACGGTTAATCTTGGATCATAGTGAAAATCTCAGAGGTATTCTGAGGACTAGATGTACGTCAAGTGGTTAAGACCAAACTAGTATAAATCCAGTGTCTTTAATTTACGGTGAAATCTTTCTATGTCTAAAGCCCTCTGTTTTATTAATTTTATCATTTCAATTCGGTTAAAATTTTCATAACTCACCCAATTCACCCTCCTTAGGTGAGACTGCCACTAACACATTCTTCTCATATGTCTCCTCCTTCCATCAACATAGAAGTCCAACCTGATCTTCAAAATATTGTCTCAGAGCTTAAACAAGAAAATGAAGATCAGACAATTGAATGTCACCATCTTGTCTAGGTTGGAAGCACTTGAGCGAAAATTCTCAATTAGGTCGCCTATCAACTCCAGCACTCAAAGTGAAGCAAGTCCA